TTATACCGATTAACACAAAAAAGTTAATTGATAAACTTGATTTTATTTTGTTCATAAATTTAGACGCACAATTAAAAAAGTTTTATATCTTGTTAATTGATAGTTAATTAGTAGTTTTTTTCTTATATTTCTCATTAATAGGCCTAAATTAATTGATTTTGTCAAAAACCCTTATATAAATATGACTTACCTGGAATTATTTAATCATTATTTAATAAATAAACAAAAGTTAAGTTAGTTTTGCACTAAAAAAACGTAAAAAATGGGCAAAAGACGTATCATTCAAGGTGAAAGATGGCAAATTATTGCGCACATCAAAGAAGGAACCAAAAGTAATAGAGAAATCGCCAAGTTAATTGGAGTTTCTGAGAAATGCGTTCGGACAACGAAACAAAACTTTCTTCACACTGGTGGTGCCAGCGAGAAAACGAGGCCAGGTAGACCCTTGTCAACCACGAGAAAGGACGATAGTGTTCTTTTTAGAGCTGTCAGAGCTAATCCAAGAATTAGTTACAAAGAATAGACCACAGAATTCAATACAACGCGAAATACATCTATTTCTCAAAGCACAGTCCGCCGAATACTTATCAAATACAAGATTGGAGTCTACACTGCTTTTAAGAAACCGCTTCTGCGTCCATATGATAAACAAAGGAGACTAAAATGGTGTCGTGAAAGAAGGTATTGGACAATAGATCAATGGGAAAACATTGTGTGGAGTGATGAGAGTAACTTTGAACTTATCAATCGCAAATCTAACATAACAGTTAAAAGAAAGTTAGACCAACTGTACAAAGTGGAGGAGGCTCGATAGGAATCTGGTCATGCTTTATTTACAAAGGTGTTGGTATGTGCCAAACATACACTGGAAGAATCAACTCCAGAATATACGTAGAAGTACTGGAAAACAACCTAATTCCATCAATTGACCTGCTTTTGCTCAATGATAAACCATGGAAACTTCAACAAGATAGCGCTACTGCATATACTGCATACTATACAAAGGAGTGGTTCAACGATAATAATATTATGACAATACCGTGGCCTCCATATTCACCTGATTTGAACCCGATTGAAAACATTTGGGCTTGGATTGATCGTGAATTAGCAAAGGTTCAAATTTCCACACTTGGTCAGCTGAAGGAATTCCTTAAGGAGACCTGGTATGGGGTCCCAGAAGCGATATGCAAAAATCTTGTTGAGTCTATGCCTAGAAGAGTTCTTAGTTGTATTAAAGCAAAAGGCGGATACACAAAATATTGATTGGTTCATAAATTATGCATTCTAATGTATTGTGCATCTAAATTTATGAATAATTTTTTTTGTCTCATTTTTTTAATACCATGTAGTTGTACCTAATTATTACTTAATATTTCATTTTTTTTGTAAACTTTTTTTAAATTTTGTTACCTGTATGTATTTATCTGATAAATAGAAAAAAAACTAAACCGAAATCTTTTTTCGTCATTGTTTTATCGTTAAAATACCTAAAATTTTCTATTCTCAAATATGAGTGCGTCTAAATTTATGAAAACCACTGTATATATATATATATATATATATATATATATATATATATATATATATATATATATATATATATATATATATATATATATATATATATATATATAAATATATATATATATATATATATATATATATATATATAAATATATATATATATATATATATATATATATATATATATATATATATATATATATATATATATATATCTATATATGTATATGTGTGTGTGTATATATATATATATATATATATATATATATATATATATATATATTATATAGTATATATGCGGTAGTGGTGTAGTGGTAGAGCGCTCGCTTCATAAACGAGTGGTTCCGAGTTCGATCCCCACCACGTCCCTGGTAGTACCGCGCTCAACTCGTTTCTCCGCGCAGCGGCCTTGCTCGTCAAGGTTTGTGTTTCGGAGTTATAGAGTTGAGAGAGGGTTATAACCACAAATAAGTAGCCTCCTCGTCTGTAGTGGCCTTCTCGGCCTTGAGGAGGTGAATTAATATAAAAAAAAATATATATATATATATATATATTATATTATTCGAATGACATTTTTTATTTAACTATTTTTTAAGTTTATTTTTGCATTATTAAATAATTTAAATAACATACCGTGATTGAAATACTTTGATAAAAATCATAATAAAAGTAGAAAAGTGGGCGAAACTACATAAAAGACCATCGATAAACGTGGACCGACATGTCGAAGTTTTAAATCTTTGATTTCAAGAGAAGATTGTTTGTTGAATGTATAATAAAATGTAATAATATATCAGTAATAAATTCCAGTAATAAATATCGACTATTAAAAGATGTAAGTATTATCGACTGTAAAAGATGGTGGATGTAGTGTTAAGGTGTGGACTGTTCGGAATTAGGGATGGTTAGTATGCTAGAGGTGACATTGTAAAAACAGAGGGTGACATTGTAAAAACAGACAAAGTTAACAAAATTTGGACACTTAAAAAGTTATGATATACTTTTGAATAGTTGAGTTAATGGGAAGCCATTTATTTTTTTTAAAAGAAAATGACTTCATGCTTTAATCTAAAATAAAATTTTAAAAACATTGTATAAGTTATTTAACTGAACTTGAGAATGATCAAATATTGAATAGAATGATTTAGCCAATCACAAGATCTCTCTCCTCGGATTTTTATGAGATAATTTAAAAGTATGTGAAAATGCCTAATGATGCATAAGATGTGGAAATAACCTATTAGTTAGTCAGATAGATTTTGTTTTCAGTTTTTCTCTCAATAGTAAGTAAACCTTTTATACCTTATATTTAAAATTATCATGTTTGATTTCATTTTAGTTAATGTTCTTGAACACATTTTTAAAAATAAATCTGCTCTCATTTTTATCTAACAGTTTTAAATTGGATGAATTGCCTGTTCATGGGGTAAGAACATTATTTGCATTTTCTTGGAGCCATAGCTTAGTATTTTTTGTCCCATTGTGTGTGAAATTATCAAACATTTTGGTATAAAACCAGTTTAGGGTCATCCATAAAGTACTTCACATTAGATTGAACTTTTTAATAGAAGTAGGAAATCATTTGTACTCTTGCACAGAGGTTTCATTCAGCAAAAGACCCTATATAACTTAAAAATCTCTGCGCAAGAGAGCCAATGATATCCTACTTCTATTTTAAAGTTAAAATTTAGCGTGACATACTTAGCTTGGCATACTTTATGGATGACTTCTTAGACACATTGTTTTTATTTGCAAAATTAACAATCTCACCTAATTATAAAAGGTATAAACCAGTACTGGCAGTGACCCCAAGATATAATTGCTGGAAATTGCTTAACAGGTAGTGCAATGTATCAGACATTGAAGACTTTGTGTGCTGCAAACTGTTTAAATTGTGCTTCATCTGAGAACATGTGATGTTGCCACATTTTAATAGTTCTTATCTTCTTTGCAAAAATTGAGATGTTCACAAATACTTTTTTGAAAGAGGTAAAAAAAAAAAGGGGAAAAAAAAGGGTGGTTTTAATGCAGCATGGTACAATCAAAGATTAAAGTCCTTGGCAAGGTATTTTTGAGCAGTTCGGGTACTAACATTCTAGGAAGCGGTTTAGTAAAAATTTGCTTAAAATTTACATGTCATTTACAGCCAAAAAACATATCATGTTTTTGGAGTGATAGGGTTTGGTTTTTACAGGATTGATACCATCTGATAAATGATATCATCAATCGTTGTCTTAGGCATAAAATGCTCAACAGTCATTTATTCGGATTTGTTAACTTCCAATAAAAATTATACTTGTGCACGTTTAACGTGCACAAGTATAACTTTTAAGTTATACTTGTGCACGTACAAGTATAAGTTTTAAGTGATATTGTAGCCATACACCATTGATATTTACATGATTTTAATGTGTATTATTAATAATTAAACATTCTTAATGAGTTCTTTACTACCACTGACCTCTTAAGGAAACCATGTATACAATCTATTGTAAAGTTAGTATCTGCTATGGTTGACTCTATGTGCTGGTAACACAAGAAAACAGTTTTCACAAAAATTCTGAAAACTGTTATCAGAAGTTTTGCTTGATAAATTTTCAAAATAAAGTATAATTCTTTGTAAATTAAAGTTTATAAAAAAAGATTCAGTTTATTAAGAGTTTTCAGAACATCTTTATTTAAAATATTGCAATACATTTGCTTTTTATACTAAAAGGATAGAAAAACTCTCAAAACCCCCTTTTATGTTACTACTCAATTTTATGTCAATGTTTAATACTCCAATGTTAGTAAATTCCTTGTGTATTGATTGATGTTTGATTTAGATTGATGTTTGATTTGTTTTGTTTGGCTTTCATTCCAGAAATAGTCAAATCGGGGAGGATTTCTTCCATTTCAAGTCAAATTGATTAAAATACTAATTAACATTCTAGTGATAATCAAATTGACGAGGTTAACTTATACTTCAGGAATAGTTAAATCAACTAACAAATCAAAAATTTGATTTCTTTTGCCATCGACAAAAATATTTTGCCAAGTGCAATATATATGTATATATATATATATATATATATATATATATATATATATATATATATATATATATATATATATATATATATATATATATATATATATATATATATATATATATATATATATATATATTGTATATATATATATATATATATATATATATATATATATATATATATATATGTATATATATATATATATATATATATATATATATATATATATATATATATATATATATATATATATATATATATATTTATAGTTAGGAAATTGAGTTGTTTGAGGTTGTTTTCAAGTTCCACTGTGTATTTTATGGCAGGATGTTGTTCATTAAAGATGTTCAGGAAAATTTGTTGTTGTTTTGTTAAAGCAAAGCGAGCGTGACAATCATCTACATATCTCTTGTAAGTGTTTTGTTTGGGATGTATGAATAATTGCTATGTTAAGGGGTTTTCTTTCTATATTTTGTAAAAACGCTTCTGCCATAACAACCATTAAAGATAAACCTATAGGACCTAAATTAGGTATTATTCGGATATTGTTTTTATATAAAAAATAGTATATACTTAATGAAAGTTCAATTAATTAATGTATGTCTGCAAGAGTAAAGTTTAGTTCCTGTTTTTAAGTCATCAATGTCAGCGTTCAATATATCAATAATAACTGGAATTGCTTCATCAATGGGTATGGATGGATATAAATTGGCTATATCAAATGAAACTTGAACTTCATTAGGATCTATTATTCATTGCTTAGCTTCATTTACAAAACTATTAGAATTCATGAGTCTACTTTTATTTTTGTTGAATAATTTTAACAAGATAATCAGATGTTCCATAAGGTGGTGCGTTAATTGTTGATACAACAGGGCGCATTGGGTAATCTTTTTCTGGTTTGTGAGCTATAATCATTCCTTAAATCCTTGGTGGGTTACAATCTGATGGATACATTTTAAAGTATGTATTTGTGTCTAGTTTACCTTCTTTTCTTAATTTGTACAATTGTCTTTGAAATTTAGTAGTCAATGTGGATGTTGGATCATAATCAATAATTTTGCTATTTTTTATTTTTTTTTCTAATTTGAGAGATGCATCTTTTTGGTTTAATTATGCGAAACCTGTGCCTTTATCAAAAGGGTATTTTGTACCATTGCCGAAAATTTTTTTTTCGGCAATGGTGCAAAATTTTGATCTAAATTGAGTAGCTCAGTTGTTGATTTATCCAGAGTAACATTAGTTAAATTGAGTATAGCAGGTTTAATAACTTGATTGGGAGGATCAAAAGTATTTTATATAATCTGTGTAATTTGTAATTTATATATTTTTTTCATTTTCTTTAATTTATGATATTTTTCTTTCATTTAATTTATCATATTTTTCTTTCATTTCATTTTTTCTTTCATTTATATTAATATTACTAACACAGGCTCTGGAGCTTATGAATTTCAAATACATAGAAAAGAAGCTATTACAAATGTTCAACTTAAACCTAACTCGAACATTAAACCTAACATTATTATTGGCATTTTCATAGGATTTTTATGTCGTGCTAAAAGAATATGCTCTCAAAAACACCTTCAAAAAGAAATTGGTTTTCTAATAGATATCTTTGTTGAAAATGGCCACGACAAAAACATTCTAAATAATATTACTATAGACTATTTAAAAAACGGTTTAAAAAACACCACATTTCAACCATTAGATACCCAACCCTTTATAAAACTACCTTGGATACTAATTGTTGGTCCAAAACTTAAAGAACGTAAAACGTAAAGAATTTCGAAAGCAAAACATAAAGGTTAATTTCACTCCCAATTTAAAAAATGTTTTTTGCAACAATAAAACTAAACTACCACTAAACACAGACCCTGGCATATACCAGCTAAAATGTTCATGCGGTTCGATATACATTGGCAAAACTAAAAAGAATGTGATATCGAGATGCAGCCCCAGAATATCGAACTCGGAAAATCAGAGAGTCACTCGAAATAAGCAAGGGTTCGACAGGAGTTGAGAAATAGTGATGTGGTTCTCAATCGGGATGAGGGTGATAACGTAACAACTAAAACCTGGGGGCCATTTTTTAATAAAATCTGCTGACGTCAGTTATTTGAAAAGATTTTTTTTTTTTTTTTGTATTATATTTTAGCTTTTTAGTGTTATCTTTTTAATGGTTTGTTTTTACTATAACGATTTTTTTGTAACTATTTTATTTATTATACCTGATGACACTGATCACAATAGATCAGCGAAATATTGAAATAATTATATATTAAAGAAAAAATATATATACGTTTTTTCTTTAATATACAATTATTTTTAGCATATATATATATATATATATATATATATATATATATATATATATATATATATATATATATATATATATATATATATATATATATATGTATATATATATATATATATATATATGTATATATATATATATATATATATATATATATATATATATGTATATATATATATATATATATATATATATATATATATATACATATATATATATATATATATATATATATATATATATATATATATATATATATATATATATATATATATATATATATATATATATATATATATTCAAAAGTGGCAACCCTAACCCTAACATTCAGATTAAACCACATTCAAATCACGGTTGCTATATTTAAAGGATTTCTTCACAGAACTTACTCAATCTATAGTAAACTTCCTTTGCAAAACGAAATGTTTTGAGATGAGGACAATAAATTTTTAAAACTGACATGTTTATTGCAAACAGGTATGATAAAAAGTAATTGAGAAATATTAATATGCAAACAAGTATGATAAAAAGTAATTGAAAAATATTACATACCAATTTTATCAAAAAAGACACAAATAAAACACAATTCTATCAGAATGCAATAATTTCCCTATAGTATCTTTGCAATGGGTACGGGATCTCTCACCAAAACTTCGGAAAATATTACAAAAATCAGGATACAGAGCAGTATTTAAATTAAACCCAAATATATAAGATCTTTATTAACATCAAAAAACAAACCAAAACTACCTAGTAACAGCCAGCCTGTTACCTATATAATAAAATGCAACTGTTCCAAAGATTACATAGGTTAAACAAAAATGCGGGTAAACACATGGATGCATCAAAATTAGAGGAGCATTGACAAAAGAAAACCTAATCAATCTGCAATAGCATTTCATAAAACCTTTAGCAAAGAAGATATTATTTGGGAAAAAACAACATTAAAAGTAGAAAATAAAAAGTGTGTGTGTGTGTGTGTGTGTGTGTGTGTCTAGACAATCTAATAATTCTACAGAACTTTTTTTTGGTTAGACATTTTTAACTTTTTTGGGCAGAAATTTTTAATTTTTGTTTTTTTGGCATTTTTAAATTAAATATTTTAATTTTTACACATTTAACTTTTAGTATTTTTTTATAAAAATTCTAAAGTTATTTTTAAAAGTATTATGCATAAAAATTTATAATTTAATTTATTAAATTTAAAATTTGGATTAAAAAATATATTAATCAAATATAAATTTGGAATTTTATAATAAATTTTACAATATTACTTATTGTCAAAAAATGACATTTCAATAAATTATTGAAGAATATCTAGCTTATAAAATGGTTTTTGTTGAAATTTATTAAGAGGTCAGAAAAGTATTACTTCATCCCAACCAACCTCAACACAATCAGAAACAAAGCATGCTGGTCCTTCACTAGATTGGGTACCTGATCCCAATGAGCCTACATATTGCTTATGTAATCAGGTATTAATATTATTATTATTTTTTTTTTTTGTTTTTGTTTTGGTATTATGTTGAGTAAATAGTATATTTTAGTAAATGATTTGAGTAAACAGTAAAATGATTGCAAATTAAGTAAATTGCTTTAAAACTTATTTTTGTAATAAGTTTGCTTGCAAAAGCAGGCACTTTTACTGCAACTCAATTTGCAGCTTGCAGGCAACCACTATTTAAGTCAGGAGTTTCTAAGAATAAAGAATAATAATAAAGAAGGAAAGACTTAGAAAATAGCGACTTGAAAAGCTACAAATTGTATAACTCAGAAAAGAACAAAGGCTTCAGTGAAAATCCTTGAGTGAAAAGTGTTTTTTACAAAATGTTTAAATGAAAAAATTAAACAAATAAGTGTTTTGAAAAATTGTTCAAAATGTTGAAAAATCAATGAGCAGTTACAGTAAATAGATACAGTTTTGCTGAATAATGAGTTGTTAAATGAAGTTTTGCTAAGTCACATAAGATTTTGTTTTTGTCGGTAAAACAAGAGATAATAGCTAACTTGTAGTTGGAAAGCTAGAGCAAACTAAAAGCTAGAGTCCAATTTACTAGAGCAAGCTAGAGTCCAATTTACTGGTTTTGAATATCAAAAATATCATAAGAATTAATCCAAAAATGACAATATTATTCCATAGAGGAAGAGAATCTTAAGCAAGAGAATCATGAACTTTTCTTTATCATGCTTGCCATTTTTTTAATTTTGATTCTCTATATTTAGAAAGCTATAAACAAAAAAAAGTTTGTTTATAGCTTTCTTAATATAGTTGTCCAAGTCATTAACTTAACTTTTTGTCCAAATCATTTTTGTTGTTGTTATAGGTCTCTATCATACTTATGTTGTTTCTGCCCCAACCCAACTTGAACCATGAGTTGTTTTTCCTTTTGTTCTCTTAAGTGATCAGCGATAATTTTTATTTAGTGATTTAGTATTTTCATCTTTTATTTATTTTTATTTCCTTAAAATTAAGATATAATTTATTGTTTCGATCTAGTATTTACAAATAATTGTGGTCTTTAAAAATTTTTTTATCTGTCGATTCTTACTCTTGCAAAATTTACCAGAAATTCTTGTTTTTTGGGAGACTAATTTAATTTGGCTGTTCCTATTTTGAATTTTAAGTTGTTGTTTTTTAATATATGTTTAGTGTTCAGGAATCCACACATGTGTGGTTTGGAAGGATTACCATTATGTCATTTTCTTATTTAAATATGACATTAAAAGTTGATAGACTATAACTGTCATGTTTGGCTTTGGCCTATTCTCATGTATCAATTTACTTATTCATCTTTAGTTTGAGTTGTGGGTAGCCTTTTTTTGCTTTTTATTTTATTTTCAAATTAAAAAAATTCTTTTTGGTTTCCCTTGGCCTTTGTTTTTGTTTCTCTTTTTTTTTCATCACTTTGTTCTTTATCATTTTTCTTCTTACTAAAACTTTTCTGTACTCATTTCCACATTCTTTTCAGCATTATTTCTAATAAGATTTTTTTCTCTGTTGTTATTGGTGATCTTAATGCTCAGCTGAAATGGGCTTTAATACCCTGCTGGCACTAAAGCTGAAAATCTTTGTTTTTCTAAATCATTTACCCAGCTAGTAAATTTTGTGACTTGTTTTCCAGCTATCCTAAATCACATATCTTGATTCCTTAATTTGTGTCTTGTTTCTGACAATACCTTTGCTCAATAAACCCTTACTTTATGTCTTCTTGAATTATCCTTTTACCAATCTCTTATTTACACCCTATGAAAAAAGCAAATAATGATCATAATAATTAAAATAACCTTTTGATTTTTGCAATTTTTGATTGATTTTAAATGATTTTACAGTGTGAAACGCTGTGTTTATTAATGTTGTTATGACTATTAAATAGTTCAACTGTCAACTAAATCAACTGATTTTCTAAATTCAACTAAAATCGAGTTATACACTTTTGAAGTTGACTAAAAGTTGATTTAGTTGAATTTGTTTGTTTTTTGTTTGTTTTTTGAAATAAATTGTAATAAAAATTATAAATTAATTTGTATTCGCTTTCTATTTTTAACATCATATTATTTAAATATTAATAGAGCAAAACAACATGAGGGAAGCCACATCAACAACTGGGCAATTTATTCCCAGACCTCAAGGATTTAGGGAATGCCTTAAATATATGCTATAAATCAAAGTCTTTATAATCATATTTACAATGTGATTGTATAGATGGCATTTAGATTTTGGAGCTTTGCAACTTAATCTCAGAAGCGTTTGATAGCCAGGGTTAGAAAAAAATTAATAATACTTAATATACTATAAATTTATGCTTACATTTACTATTTATTAAATAATGGCATACATTTATATATTTTTAAACTCTAATTTACTTCCAGCAAGATTGCAAGCAACCACTATTAAGTTATGAGTTACTTTAAAATAGAAAACAAGTTAAAATACAAGGAAACATATAACTGAAGACTTAAAAAGTTGTAAGTTGTATAAAAAAGGAAAACATGAATATGGGTAAGAGTTATGAGATTTTTTTTTTTTGATGTTCAAGGAAAAAAACTGGGTTAATAAAATTTTTTTTAGCATGAAGGGACAGATACTGTGGGTGCAACTTAATGAATAAAAAGCCAAGCAAGAATGAGTTTTGGTTTATTCTTATAGAGATAATAGCTTAGTTGAGCATTGATCATGATTTTTGTAGATAAAAGAAAGAAATGCAACCTTACGATAATGGTAGTGTGGCTCAAGCTTGACAGGTTAAGCAGGTCTTATTACATTTACAATGTGCTTTTAGACTTTGTCTGAGAGTAAGAGGGTTGTTATTCATCAACATAGGAATGCCAAAAATATTGCAATATTTTTTTGCAGTAAATAAATGAGTTTTGTTGTCTAACAAAAATAGTGGATTTCAAGTCCAGAATTTAAATCCATAAGCCACTGCAAGCCTGAAGCTGTTACTGAAGAGAAATCAGACTTAAAGAGTCACTTGAGATTTCATGAAGATCGTTATTGTAGATAAAAAAAAATACAGGAGCAAAGATAGAATCTTGTGGTTACTTGAAATAAAGAAGAGGCCTTCAGTGTAAATAAAGCAGAGGCCTTCAGTGTAGGCCTTCAGTGTAGGCCTTCAAGAATAACTTTACTACTGCAATTAGAAAGATTTAATAACCTTAAAACCTTTATATAAAGAAACTAATAGCAGAGTGATGACTAATTGTAAGATAGTTGGAGAGGTCAAAGTGTTTTCTAGAGTTTCGAAAAATTGGAACCACTTATTTAGCACTTTTTAAAAATTTAGCGAAAATTGAAGAGAGTTCTGGAGAACACTTTTTTAAGACTATAATTAGTAAAACTAATTATAGTCTTGAAAAAGTAAATTTAGTAAAACTAATTATAGTCTTAAAAACTAAAGACTAAAAACTGTAGAAGTGTTTAGTTCAATGTTTAACAGTGGGTTAATCTGTTTAACTGTCAGGAAGTTTATGGTCATTAGATTCAAGAGTCAAATTAGAGTAAGATTTCTTTGCAAATAACTCTGCTTTATTCTGGGGAGAAGTAAAAAGATCATGAATTAAATGTTAGACTTACTTACTTTTTACTTAGAGAAGTAAAAAGATCATGATTAAATGTTAGACTTACTTTAGTTTAATAATACTGTTAAAGACTAATCAAAAGTCTATAGAACTTAACATGTGAGATAAGATACAAAATTTAGTAAACTGAAAATAACATCAGATAGGACTTTTTTACATTGGCTTCTTGCAACAATAAAAGGACAATTGTTTTTAAGAGAGATGTTCTTGTAAAAAAGATGAAAACATGAATAATATTCAATAAAGCAACTGCTCAAGATGGTGAAAAATGTGGAGAAGAATGAGGTTTGACTTAAAATTGGAGAGAAGTAATAAAAGTTTTCAAACTTTTATTCCATAAGGAATAAAACCTTCCAAGATGCACTTTATGCATACATATTATGAATATAATCATATATGTTTGCTATTTATTTAGATGCTGGCATGCAATATCCTTTCATTGTTATATAAATTTTAGTATTTATATGGTGTAGTACTTGCCGAAAGAGAAGATGATCAGATGGGTGTGTGGTGTGGTTCTAGCAAGACAAGAAAAGGAGGCATAATCTTAGTCAGATTAGAAAAAACGTTGTGTTGAACAACGTTTGTTAGAAAAGATTTAAGTAATTTAGATATCAGCATGTAGGCAGGTAGCAGCTTCAGTAGAAAATGGTAGTGGTAGAAGTAAGAAAACTTGAAGAGAGTGCCTTTCATATTGTTTGAATGAGGTTTCGTTAACAAAAAAAAAGGCTTTAGATTGTTTATCTTAGAGAACAGAGAAACAGCATAAAAGAAGGCTAAAGCTTGATGATGATGATGATGATGATGATGATGATGATGATCACCATCATCATCATCATCATCATCATTATGATGATGATGGTGATCATCATCATCATCATCATCATCATATGGTTATAATACCCAGCTTCTTCAACTCTATGCTTTATCTTTTCAAGATCTTGTTTTAGAATGAGCAAGTATCAGAATTCATGTAGATTTCATCAGGGTTTCGAAAACAGGTCACAAAAATTGAGTCATCCAGAATACTGCAAAAAATGGAAGAATATGTAGTTTATATAAATCGATATTAAAGTTTTTCCAAACTCTTGATAGAAATATATTTTTCTTTGATATTGCTAAATGTTTTTAAAAATTTATGAAAATTAGGCCAATACAAAAAAATTTGAGCCATTACTAACTTTTTTTGAGGAACATTTTATTTATATATATATATATATATATATATATATATATATATAATATATATATATATATATATATATATATATATATATATATATATATATATATATATATATATATTAATATTTTTAAACTTTAATAATATAAATAAGCTTATGGATTACTAATGGGGAAAAAAATCCAGACTTTAGGTCAGAGAAACAATCAATTTTTAAACTCAGTCTTTAGGTATAATGGCGGCAAGGACTCTGGGCCTAAAAACAATAAGTTTCAAGTCATTAAATATCATAAATTTTTTCCTTATAGCAGATCATTAATCAACCAACATGTTTAGAGCTTCTGGATACCAGAGACCATGAAAAAAAAAAGATATAAAGCCGGGTCCTTTTGGGACTCTGCATCCCTGGTTTCACTTATACCAATGTAGAATTTTTTGGTAGAAGCGTGAAAAGAATTTAAATATACAAAAATTTACAACTAATCAAAACTTTACAAATAATCCCATTGTTCGCTTATTTAACCCTGCTAAAAACGAAATAGGCAGACTTCCGATATAAACTCTGAACTTGTGAACATACTACAAGGTACCACAAATCGGTTTAATTCCATCAGTGGTAAATTATTTTTGATATTGTTAATTTCTACCCTTTGATAACTGAAAACTTCTTAACAGTACAATTAATTTTTCTGAGCATCATTTAACTATGGACCCTAACCATAAATCATTGATGTATCACTTATATATTGATAATATTTTTTTCTTTCTAACCGCTTTATTAAAGTCATCCTCGAAGGCTCTTTTTCATTTTCAGTAACTTCTGGGGTCTTTCAAGGTTCTATCCTTGGTCCTGTTTTGTTTCTTATCTACATAAATGATCTTCCTGACAACCTTTCATCTAAAGTAGTTCTTTATGCTGATGTAAACTTTATACTCCTGTCTTGACAAAAAGTCTTTTTTTTCGATTGCTTAGTGCAATTTTTCATAATCTCATAAAAGTTATCGATATCAATAGTTTTTCAGAATTTTCAGAATTATTTTTTTCAGAATTATTTTTTGCACATTTAAAGCTTCCTACCTTATAATTATGCTTTTATCGGTTTCACAATTTATTTTAGTTTTTTTTTATGGCTGGAAATTTAGAAATAGAAACAACTAAATAGAAATAAAATTTTTAAAAAAGCTTATTGTTTATTTAATACAAAGTTTATTTTAAATTCAACAACAACTTGCCGATAACATTTTTTGCATATTTAATTTATGTAAGATTATGAGTTGTTTAAACTGAAACGATTTATACTTTTTAACTTTCAGGTATCCTATGGTGAAATGGTTGGCTGCGACAATAGCGCTGTAAGTTTATAACACTTTTTTATAAAGTATTTAATTGTTTTTATAATTTCTATTTTTGTTTTTCTAATACTAAGTGTCCTGTTGAATGGTTTCACTATGGTTGTGTTGGATTGACGGACGCTCCAAAAGGAAAATGGTACTGTCCTGATTGCGCTGCGCAACTGAAAAAGAAACGTATTCGATAAATTGAATGCCAAAGCCCATAAAAGGGTTGATATTCACGAACGTGGTATGAAGTCAAAGATCGTGGAATTCTATAAAACAGGTCGATTGAAAGGTGAGAGTCAAAAATGGTATTTGAAGTCTGTATACAAAAAAATTCTTATTTATTTCGAATGTAAATATAGATTAAAGCAATAGATAAAATAGAAACTTTATTGTTGATTCTTTTAAATCTTGTATTTTAAACTGGAAACAAAATTATTTATTTTATTTATTCTTCAGTTTTTTTATTCTTCAGGTTTTTTATTCTTATGCTTCAGTTTTTTTATTATTTTTTTAGTGATCTTAATTATCTGATCTTAAATTCTAATTAATATTACGATATTCTTAAATTCTCATTAATATTCTTAAATTCTAATTAATATTACGATATTCTTAAATTCTAATTAAAATTACGATATTTCTAAATTCTAGTTAATATTACGATATTCTTAAATTCTAATTAAAATTACGATATTCTTAAATTCTAATTAATATTACGATATTCTTAAATTCTAATTAATATTACGATATTCTTAAATTCTAATTAATATTACGATATTTATAAATTCTAATTAATATTACGATATTCTTAAATTCTAATTAATATTACGATATTCTTAAATTCTAATTAATATTACGATATTCTTAAACTCTAATTAATATTACGATATTCTTAAATTCTAATTAATATTACGATATTCTTAATTCTAATTAATATTACGATATTCTTATACTCTAATTAATATTACGATATTCTTAAATTCTAATTAAAATTACGATATTCTTAAATTCTAATTAATATTACGATATTCTTAAATTCTAATTAATATTACGATATTCTTAAATTCTAATTAATATTACGATATTCTTAATTCTAATTAATATTACGATATTCTTAAACTCTAATTAATATTACGATATTCTTAAATTCTAATTAAAATTACGATATTCTTAAATTCTAATTAATATTACGATATTCTTAAATTCTAATTAAAATCGCGATATTCTTAAATTATTTGTTTTTTTCTCCTCTTTTTTTTTAAATATTATTTTTCTCTCTGTCTACTTTTAAAACTTTTAACAGCATCTTTTCGTACAGTGGCATTGATTATCTTCTGCTTATTGTTAAAAAAGACATTAATTATAATTTTAGAAGCAAATTTAAACCCCATTCTTTGTGTAAATCGCAAGTAAAGTAAACTGTTGGAAAGTATTTTGATAAAACAAAGCTTGATACATCTTTGACATAAGCACCTTGTTTAGTCATTAAATTTGAAAGATTATCTAAGACTGCAAAACATCCACATGTGAATTCCTTAAGTGAAAGTGAAGGCACAGTAAGACCACCTCGTGAAAGTATTTGTAGATATGGGCAAATATTTATATTGCTTGCATCTATAGCAAGCATAGACTTACAATTGCTATATTTGCTTCTTTTTATTAATTTCTTTGCTATATAACCAGTAATTGTTGTGGCAACCCCTTCTGTTTCAAGTGATAGAGTTAATTCTGATATCTCATTTGAATTTAAATCTAATGTTATAAGTAATTCATCATTAATTGGATTATCATAATTGTTCTTTAAATCTTTATTCCAAAAATTTACATTCTCCCTAATTAAAGTCCGACATGCTAAAATAATCTCTGAACTTTGAACTTCTAGTAAACTTACTAGAAATCTCCCACCACTCATCTGTCGATATTGAGAAAATCTACGCTCTATAGGGTCACTTTGAAGTCGTGAAGAAAGCACATACAAATATCCTTCTTCTATGAGCTTGTCTATAAGCATTGCTTGAGAACGCAGAGTTGTGATAAGAGCAGATGATGTTTGTTTAGAAAAAGTAAAAAATTGAGATTTCTGCCTTCAAGTTCAATCCAATCAGCTATTTGCCTAAAAAATGTAGTTTTACCATCATCAAAAATAATTACATTACCAAGTTTATTTGGACTAAATTGTTGCTTTGAATTTAAAACAGTCCACCATTTTTGAAAAATACTTAAAAAACCAGAAATGTCATTTCTTTCAGGAAAATAACTTTTAAAACTTGTAATTGTTGTTTCATCGAAAATCGACAGTGCAAGAGAAACATTTTGCTTTTTATTACCAGTTTGAAGAGTTTGATATGTAATTTTTGGAGCTTTTTTCAAATTACCTTGAAGTTGTTCATCTTTAGAATGTAAAAAATGAAAATCTCCCCAAGTTATATAACCAGCTGGACAATTATAGATATCATCTTTTATATTATAAGTAAATGATGGAAAGACAAATTTTTTGCAGTGTTATAAATTATTTCTGATATTTTTAACAATATGAACTCTATCATAAAATAAGTATATTTTAATATTTGGACTATCAGGATGATAAATAAATAAATTTGACTGATTACCAAATTTCAAATGAAGCAAATTAAATGCATTTACATTTGCTTGATGATTGTCAGTAACAAATTTTAAAACCAGATAAAGAAAGAGAACTAATAGAATCTGATATTTGCTCTGAAAGCCATTTACCACTAATGATAACTTCGGGTACTGCTTTAATGACATAAGGAATCGATTTCTTTAAACTAACAATCATAAATGCAACAACTCCTTTGTACAGAGTACCGTTGTCATCTGCACCCACATAGACACCACTACAATATTGTGCCTGTTTCTGAAGATAAAACTCATCTACAATTAGTATTATATCTTCATGTATTGAACCCTTCTCACAAAGTGTCTTAACAGCCTTTATTGCATCAACTCCACCTTGTTTAATTTTATTTAATAAAGAAATTGAAGGAAATGGAAACGATTGAAGTCAAATTTCATATGCTTGTTTAGATGTGTATCTTAATAATAAAGCGTGTCTGATCATAGCTGCAGAATATTGTGGTTGACCTTTTGCTTTATAGTATATTCTACTAAATATTTCCTCAAGAAGTATATTTCTATTAGAAGAAGCTATGTTTTTTAAGTACGATGCAAGATTTAGTTAACTTGCCATTATGACCTTTAGCTAACCATGGAGGGAGTAGAACATTATTTCCTTTGTATTACAAAGCTACTCATAAACAATGATTAATTTTTATTGATTTAAAAACAGAAGGAAAATGCGTTAAAGGGTCAAATATTAAATTGTAATAAATAGCACAATTGAGATGTTTTTTAAATTGAAAACCTTCTGGTGAATGTTACAGTTTAACTTGCTCCATTCAGTTATTTTATCATTTTCAGAAAAAAAACTAAGTTCATCTTCTTGAAAAATAAGAGTTTTAGGTGGTCTTCTTAAAGCAATAGGTGATGGTAGTGTGAAAGGCCGTTTTAAGCATTCGCTTGAGAAAATTTCAGGAATAGGGTTTAAATTCCAATTTAACTTGCTTTTTACACCTCGAATAATGTACTTTTCATTAAAATGCTTTTCACATAAGACAGAGTTTGGGACCCACTCATAATATATATATATATATATATATATATATATATATATATATATATATATATATATATATATATATATATATATATATATATATATATATATATATATATATATATATATATGTATATATATAAATACTGCACTGTCATTATTTTGTTGCATAAATAGGCCTCTTGGAATCGGCCTCTAAAATGTAACATACACGGCCGTGTAATATAATAGTAGGCCATGTTACGATATTCTAATATTTTTGCACACACATTCAGTAGTCGAATTCTGCTCTATTAATAATGTTATCTTGAGGAAAAAAATTTAAACATTTGGATATTGATTTTTGACAAGTTATACCAGTAAAACCAAGTTTTATAAAATGTAACAGAAATCCACTTACTGACACAAAGTATCACCAGAAAGTTTTAACATTTTTCCAATCCCTCCCTCTTCTCCATTAAATTTTAAGTAACTAACACTCATTTTAAAACAAAAAAAAAGTTTTTTCAGCATATTCAGTTTTGTTTTTGTGGAAAATGTATCCATTGATATAAGCAACCCCTATTTGTTGCCTTGTTTTACAGGCATCCAATTAATGTCAAAAATTTACTCACTTGTTTATGTTGAATTCTGGATGTATTAGAATGATGAGTACAAAATTCAAAATTTTTAATACAAACGGTATTTTTATATTCATATTTTTGAGCGCTAAATTGTATTTTGATAAAATTGTAATTTGAAATCAGTTTATTATTCTCTTAAATATAAGGCGATTTTTTTCTCAAAATTTAATTTTTCTCAACCAGGGTTTACTAGTAAAATGAGAATGTTTTATAAAAAATTACAGTGATCAAAGCCTCTAAGCAATAATTTGGGTTCCAAATGTAAAAGTTAAAAAAAAAAAAGTATATTAAACTACCTTATCAATCCCTAATTCCAAGGGGAGTGTGTTTCAACACTACGAGATCATAACTTTTGAATGTTAAATTATTTCCCCAAATAAAAATAAAATAGATTAGTTTTGATTATTTTTTTGATTATTTTTTCTTTAAATGCAATTCCCGTCCCCTTTACAAGTAATGGATTTTGGGCCCCTAATTTTAAAGTAATATTACTCCGAGACTAATCAAATGCATTAGTACGAATATATAATTCTAGATGTTACCTATTTGGTAGGTAGAGAATGATTTAAACAACATAAATAAATGTTTATATATACAGAGAGTCCACTCTGCTGAAAAAACAAAAAATTTGGATAAACTAAAATGGCTGTTTTTAAAAAAACATGCTGGAAAATGAATTTTTTGAGCATCATTAAACCATTGATGCTGATGTGTATATATATATATATATATATATATATATATATATATATATATATATATACACACACAAATTTATTATATATATATATATATATATATATATATATATATATATATATATATATATATATATATATATATATATATATATATATATATATATATATATATATATAAATTACTAAACATTTTCAATCAATATTAATTTCCAAAAGATGCGTATCTTTTGGAAATGCGTATACATATTAAAATTTTTTTTTTTTAATGTTAAAGTATGACTGTTTTTAAAGAAAACATACCACAAAACCATGGCTTTTATAACCGTGGCTTTAAACAGATTTTGCGGAAAATCGTTAAGGCTACTAGAAACTTTACACCCACTCTCCCAAAACTGTTTAAAATTATCATGAATGTTTTTAAAAGATTTGAATCGGAATTTGACTTAATTATGACCAAAACGAAGTATATTAAGCAGAGGAACCTAATTATAACTTTACAATGTAAAAATTGAGGTGATAATATTTTAAGGTTTGAAGGTTATGGTTTTGTGAAGCCAACATCGATCCCAAATAGAGGTGGTTGTAAACTTTACTTGGTCGCCATTTTTAAACGGTGAAAAAATGTAAGATGATATAAAGTTCTAGTTTAAAATACTATGACATTTTTTTATTCATCTTTTACATTTAGAAGTGTGAGATTTTTTTGTTAATATTATTCTAAAATTCCTATCATAGTAAGTATTAGTAAAACATTCTCATTTGTCTAACGCTTGCGCATCCTCTGAAAGTTACCGTTTTTTTTTGTTTTTTTTTTAAATAAACGAACGCTGAAGTGAACGCACGCTTTTTCGCTGCTTAAAGAAAATAAAATAGGAAAGCGTCAATAGTTAATAGTTACTTAACTATATTAATTTATACTTATTGAACATGTCTATCACACTTGTTGAAATTTAAAAATTAATAATGGAAATGTTTATGAAGTTTAAGATCGAGACGGAAGAAATGCTTAAGCAACAAGAAAATACTTTCACCAACACAGTTAGTTCTAACACAAAAATATTAAATGATCGATCAGACAGAGTTAAATTTAACATACTTCAAAACTCAACCAAAATAGCATCAATTGCAAAGGAAGTAGAAGAAATCAAAGTAAGTTTAAATTTTCATGAAGATCTCTTTAATAAAAAGATAAAAACCGCCATTGATTGTCTTGCAAAAGAAAATCTGGCAAACATCAAAATACAAAATAACAACAATGAACTTATAAAAATAAATAACAAACTCAGAGAGATTGAAGATAGGTCAAGGCGTAATAATTTAAGAATCGATGGTGTCCTTGAAAATGACAATGAAAGCTGGGCTGAATGTGAAAAGAATGTAAAAGAAGTATTCAACAACATATTAGGAGTCAAAAATGTAAAGATTGAGAGAGCACATAGAATTGGCAAAGTAGTTTTAAAACTTCTTGATTTTAAAGATAACACTGAAATTCTCAACAACTCTTCCAAATTAAAAGGTAAAAACATTTTTGTATATGAAGATTACTGCAAGGAAACGAATGTTATACGAAAGACGTTACGTGAAAAAATGAAAATCGAAAGGCAAGCTGGCAAATGCGCCTATATTTCATACGACAAACTTATTGTTCGGGATTGGAATTCTAAAAAAAAGTAATATATTATCTTTTAAATTTTTTTTATATTTTTACATAAACTTATTTGCTTTGATTCATTATGGCATCAGTAAACGATTTCGAAACTTTTACTATTTTTGATAAAAATGTTTTTTCATTGCACGAAAACATAACAAAGACATTAATTATTTTCATGAAATTAACAAAGAATGTGCTTATTACTATCCGTGGGAAGTAAAAGGGTTTCTATTTAACAATATTAGCAATAAAAACTTATATCAAATTAGAATTCTTTATGTTAATATTCAAAGCATTAATTGCAATTTTGAAAAACTTCAAAATTTACTTAAAGAAACAAACAACACTTTTAATATAATTTGTTTAACTGAAACTTGGGCTACTGCCAACGGTTTAATTAATGACTCTAATTTTCATCTTCCTTATTTTAAAATAATCTCACTTGAAAGGCAAACTAATAAGCGCGGTGGCAGAATTCTAATTTACGTTTATGAAAAGATTAGGCATTGTTTTAGCATGGAAGTATAAAACAGATGGAAGTTCAACCACATTAAAAGTCTTCGGCACTATGCTTGAAACCATAGTCATAAAAAGTATTCTTATGACTATGTTAAAACCTTTAGTTTCGTAAACAATAAGAAAACGACATCAAGACTGTACATAAACGCTTAATCTTTATACTTTGACGCAAATAGGTACGTTTATAATAATTTAAAAAAACAATATTTTCATGGTTCGCCAATAATATTCAAGAAAAACATTAAAAATGGCGCAACGAAACGGCAAACAACAACTTTTTTATAAACTTCATATTAAATGAATGGAGAACTACAAGAATTAACGGAAATATGAAATACATCTAATAAAACTTTAGTTATAAAGAAAATATTTTTTTTGATTTTTTAAAAATTGTTTTAATTATCTTTTTAATCAAATGTCTTGTTATGACTTGAGCAAGAAAAGAGGCTTTAAATTAATATATGCTTTTACAATCACGAGGTTCTATTTAATTACCGAGTTTTAATAAACTTTTTGCTAAATAATTGCAATTACTAATGGTTAAAACTTTGCAGCATATCCCTAGAATAATTCATTTTTTGATGTTTTAATAAAAATTATTTCAGTTAATTTTGTTGCATTTTTGTCTAGTGAAACTTTTTTTTTTTTTATTGTCGGTTTCAAGCATACTCCCGAGACGACTTGAAATTGCTATGATGTTTGCGGCTCGACAAACTTCCATTTGTTTTATACTTCCATGGTTTTAGAAACGATCTTAGTATTTCTAACGGCGATGGAGAACTTTTAACCATTGAAATAATAATTGAACAAACAAAAAACATTCTTCTAAGCTGCTGTTATCGACCACCTGATGGTGTGGCCGAAAACTTGAGCATGTTCTCATTTACAAAACGCAATGGCGGATTAAGACTTCTCGGGGCCCGGGGCTATTTTTTTTTTTTTTTTTTTGAGGCCTTTTTATGGGCTGGAGCTTTTCCATTAATAAATCGCACGACGAGAGTGACAAATTACTCAGCAACTTTACTAGACAATATCATTACAACAGACATCTTTAATAATGATATAAAAAAAGGAATCCTAAAACAGATATCTCGGATCACTTTCCTATTTTTCTGGCTATACTCACTAACCAAGCAAATGTAAAAAAACCTAACAAAATCTTAACTAAACGTATTTTTAATCAATCAAAAATTGAATCGTTTAAAAATCAATTATCGCTACTTCATTGGAAACATTAAACTTTAATGATAACGCTAATAATCTTTTTGAAAATTTCTTTAAAACATTTTTTTCGGTTTACGATGCTAACTTTCCTAATGTTACTCATACATCAAAAACTACAAAAACATAAATAATCCTTGGGTTACCAAAGGTTTCAAAAAATCATCTAACTAAGCAAAAGTTTTATATAAAATATCTAAAAACAAAAATTCATACAAGCGAAAAAAAATACAAAGAATATAAAAATTTATTTGAAAAAATCTGGAAAAGCTTAAAAAAAGACTACTATTCAAATTTGATTAATAAAACAAAAAATAACGTAAAACGCACTCGGCAAATACTAAAACTTTTAGTATTTGCCGACCTTTTTTTAGTAAAAGAAATAATTGGGAAACAAAAAACATGCTCAAGTTTTTTTGCCACACATGCTCAAAATCGTTAACAAAATTTTATACAATCCATAAATTATAGCTCATGAGTTTAATAAATATTTTGTTGAAATTGGTCCAACTCTATCAGATAAAATTCCAATTACCAAAACTTCTTTTTATGATTTTTTAACACCTCTTGATAAAGGCATTTGCTCTGATGAACTATCGTCCGAATTATCCTTCGAAGAGTTTGAAAAAGCTTTTAAAACCTTAAAAAAAAAATAAAGCAACTGGGCCTGATGAAATAAACAGAAATATAGTTATAAATTGCTATGAACAAACTATAAATATTCTTTTTAAAATCTTCACAGCATCCATCCATCAAGGAATTTATCCTGACCGCTTAAAAATTGCTAAAATTATTCCAATTCATAAAGAAAGGCGACAGATCCAATATCAATAATTATAGCCCTATCTCTATCCTATTTATACTCTCCAAAATCCTAGAAAGAATTATGTTTAACAGAGTTAATAATCGATTCGGTTTCAAAAAGATGAGCATGCCATTGTTCAATTTGTACGCAACATCTTCAAATCCTTTGAAAAAGCTCAATGTACATTAGGTATTTTTATAGATCTATCGAAAACATTTGATAGGGTTGACCATAATATTTTAATACAAAAAATGAAATATTACGGTTTAAACAATAATACTTTAGCGTGGTTTAAAAGCTATTTGACAAATCTTAAGCTAGTAGTCTATAGTAATAATGACGTTCAAAGTGGATCCTTAAATATAACCTGTGGTGTTCCACAAGGTTCTATTCTTGGACCGCTGCTATTTCTTATCTATGTCAATGATCTAAACAATGCCTCTGACCTGATGAGTATTGTTTATGCAGATGACACCAACTTATTTCAATCCCACACTGATGTTTACAAACTTTTCTCAAAAACTAATAATGAACTTATAAATATTTCTAAATGATTTAAACGTAATAAATTAACGTTAAATACTAACAAGACTAAATGGATTCTTTTTCATTCCTTCTCAAAAAAACGTTCTTTAACAGTTATTATGCCTCAAATTTATATTGATGAAACTCTAATAAAAAGAGATTCTGTTATAAGATTCCTAGGTGTTTATCTTATTAAGAATATTACTTCAAAAAACCATGTTATTCATATAACCATCAAGGTATCTAAAAATATCGGTATTTTGTATAAAGCCCAACCTTACTTAAGCAAAAAAAGCCTTACGCAGCTCTATTACTCATTCATACACAGCTATATAAACTACGCAAATATTGCATGGGGTAGTACCGAAAAAAGTAAATTACAACGTCTATATTGCCAACAGAAACATGCGATTTGCGTGATTAATTATGTGGATCGCTCTTCATATTCAAAGCCTTTCTTTGATGAAATGAAAATACTTAATGTCTACAAACTTAACGTCTTTAATGTTTTAGGTTTTACTTATATGTGGAAAAACAATTTATCCCTACCTGTTTTTAACGACCTTTTTACATTAAAACTTACTAATAAGTACTCACTAAGAAATAAAGATATAAATGAAATAAATGAACCATTTTGTAGAACAAAATTTAATAAATTTTGTATTAATTATTGAGCACCTTAATAAAATAGTTCTGCCTAATTTTGATTCTTTTATCCGTTTTTCTGTTTTTAAAAATGAAATAAAAAATTTTATTCTTGCTATGGATGACATTTTAAGTTACTATTAACTTGAAGTATAAACTTGATTTATGAGATTTATAGTAATATTTATTTGAATAGATTTATTTTATCTATAAAATTTATTATTATGGATTTTTATAACAGATTTGTGATTATTATTACAGATACATGGTTATTATTATGAATTTATTATATATATTTATTTTTACGGCCGTTTTTTGGATTTATTTTTTCAGTTTTTATGGTATGATAAAATTGTAAAGGTTTTGATAATAAGATCAGTTGATCTTCTTTCAGAAGCCTTGTTTTCTTTGTTCATGTAAAATATAGTATTTATTTTACAGGAAAATGTATCCATTAGTATTATTTAAAAAAAAAATTCTTTTTTTATTGCTTGTTTTCAGTATTTCAAATTAAAAATTTAAAAATGTGAGTAGTATAAGTAAGATTCGTAAATCTCAACAATCTCCGGGCCGGATTATAAGACAAACTTTTTCGGTAACTGATTTTTTTTTACAAGTAGAATTTTTAATGAGTTAATTGATTATATAATTTAATAACTGTTTCTTACATACTTGGGAATTCAAATGTTTAGAATTATTTTTAAACAAAATATTAAAATATATTAATTGCAATACTTTACATAATAAAATTTTCTATTCAACTCAATTGATTGTTAAACGTGGTTCTTTTAAAACATTTGACATAAAACCAGGCATAAAAAAGTTCTTATAATGTCTGGTAATAAGTAAAAACTCATTAGTTTTTACTCATTAAAAAAATTTAACAGTTTTTGGTTATAAATCTAAATTTTTTGTTATCATTCTTAAAAAATATATAAATATCTTATTCTAAATAACAACAGTAGTTTATTTAATATTAAGATTTAACGTTTACTTTGAATGGACTTCCAGGTATATTATTTCCATTCCATAATACAGAAAGCGAATAGCATCCTGGTTTGTCAATTTTGTATTGAACTTCGTAAATGCCATCTCCTATATATTTACATACTATTTCATTTCGCACAAACTTATTTTCTTCAAAGCCAGCCATAAGCGTCCCACTGCCAGCATTGACAACATCTACTGTAAATGTGCTTGAAACTGCAGCACAGGCCTCTTTAAGACCTAATCCAAAGGCGCGGCATAAAAGTGGATCAGATACTTTGGGTGGTGCTTTAATTGCAAGTGATTGTTTTCGAATAAAATTTTCCTCTAACATTACAATATGAAACGGACTACCTCCTATGTGAAAACCGTTGTATTTAACTGATAGTAAATAGTTTCCTGATTTTTGAGCAATATAAGTTATAAATATTTTTCCATCATCTTTATGATTTTGAACAATATTTACTTTATCTGGACCATCTATTTCTACAGAAAATAATCCTTTTAGGGCAACAATTGATTCAATATAAACTTCGTTAGGTTGATTTAATATACCTGTATACTTTCCTTCTCCTGACACAATAAACAAATCTTTACTATATCGGGAATTTGTTACTTCAATATGAAAGGTATGTATAATATTATCTGAAAATTGAATGTATAGAGTATATCGACCGTTTTCCAATGGCATAAATTTCAACTCCATTAAAAATCGACCGAGACGAGTAACAGTGTGTGCAATAATTTTACCAGTAGGAGTAACCATTTTTGTTGATAGGGTTTGTCGTTTTACATCACATCCATGCCAGATAGTGACAGTGTAAGTTATTAATTCTATATCGTCTGTATTTTCTTTCCATATATTTTTTTTGTTGATTTTAACATTAAAAGGACTACCTGGTAAATGTCGGCTATTATCGTGTATATGAAATAAATAGATGCCAGCTCGTTTCACTTCATACAAAATATCAATCGAGTCTGCATCGTTTTGAAAAACTCTCAGTTTCATTCCCGCCTGACCCACCACCGCAACGCATAAATTTCTCAAGTCCAAACCTTTTGTTCCAAAAATGCTGAAGCAGTTTGCTTCACCGATATTTGCAATAGTTAAAGTATTTGAACAGAGTTTTCTTTTAACAACGACTTCGTAAGGAGATCCTGGAAGTATTGAGTTTGTTTTCTTATTTATTAAAATAACTTTATAAGTTCCCTCTTCTTCACGAGGAAAATTTATGGCGTATTCACCATTGATTTTTTTGGCAATTTTACCAAAGGTTATTTTTCCAGATGGGGTATGAACTTGTGCTTCTATAGGTAAATTGGTTGTGCCTTTGCATATATCGCTTGTTGATGCCTGAGCATCGGATCCATTTGAGTTATTACTTTCTGATCGGTTTCTCAAATCTAACTGATTTAAAACACGATCTTCGACGTTTCTTCGATGTGATTCTTCGACGTTTGGATCTAATATTTTTGCAGCAAACGGACTTCCTGAAAAAAAAATTTAATATTTTTGAGTTAACAGTAACTTCAACATTATAAAACTTAGTACCTTTTGATTAAAATACAATGGTTTTTACAGCATATCAAGAAAAGTAATTATTTAAACAAAACATGGTACCATGTTTTGATACATAAAACACAGATATGGTACAATGTTTTTAAAAATTAAAAGCTTTTAAAAGCTGTCTTAATGTATAAAATATATATATACTATAATGTATAAAATAAATAAAAAATATATAGTATAATATATAAAAATCTTGTGTGACTACAGAGTGGGAAAAAAAAGTTTCAGTGAGATTCAAGCATAAACAAACTTATATAAAAAAGTAATCGAGATATAAAAAATATAGTATAGAAAGATGTGTTTTGAAAAAGGAGTCTATTGCATGAAATTTAGCCTATTAAGTTGCAAACAGATATTTTCAAATAGTGACAAAAATGCATTAAAAAAAAAGAATAAACTTATCAATGGTGAGATATTTATTGATGCTGAGAAAATGAATTTTTGGATAGACACTTTATCCCTCAAATTGTAATCTTGATGAAACTCCATAACTCATAACACTTCAGTCATAATGATCAAACCTATCATGGACTTGCACAATTACATAAAAAAAATATATATATTTTTAATTATTATGAACGTTAATCAATCTGATTTTATAGAAAATTTAGGCAAATTTGGGAAACACAGCAAAAAAGCAAAAAAATTTATACATCAAAAAGAGTTGTAATTGCATAGAAACAACTTCCCAGTATACACAGGACGTTTTTAAAACGTTTAAAAACTTATAAAAACGAATATTACCGTTTTCTAAACGTTTTAAAAACAATCTGTGCTTACTGGGTTACCTCGTGTGAAATAAGCTATCATCTAATTAGCTTCATTGCAACTTTTAGGCTACTTTTAAGCAACTTTTTTAATTTACAATACTGTTTGTTTTAGTATTTTACTTATTAAAATACAACATTAGTTATATAGTCGTTTCTAATACGTTAAAGAGAATAATTGAACTTTATACAATACAGTTTTATTACGACTTATATATTATAGATTTCTATATTATATATTATAGATTTCTAGCTAACACTGTAACTACAGCATGTAAAATATTGTCTGGTTGAATAAAAATAACAACAAGATTTTCAATAAAAGTACCAATTTTTTAATAGAAGAATAAAAAAGTTTTATTGTAAACTTTAATGTAAAGTTTTTTAAGAATAAAATCTACCAACAAAAGTTTTTTCTATATGCGAAGATTATTTTTTAATTTTGTTGCGATAATCATGTTTTAAAAATCAAACTTTAAAAACAAAAAAAACCTGGAATGTGCTTTTCTGCGTATTTAACTTCTATAATATAATCGCCAGGAGAAACTACTTGATATTTTATCTTAAAGAAAGCTTCTTCTTCTTCAATGTACTCAATAGAGGCGCGAGATTCTCCATTAATAACTACATCAAAGTCTCCACAACCTGCTTGGCGAGCATCGAGAGTAAATATGTTTGATTGACCTGCCAATCCAGTGGACAAGCCTGTAAAAAGAAAGTAGCTTATAATATTTTTACAAAACTGACAAAAGTTTTGAAATAAATTATTTGGGTTGTATGAATAACAGTAATTAATGTAATTTGGATTGCATAAACTATTTGGTTTTCTTGAATAACTTTATTCAGGTTAAAAATAAAGCAGACATTGTATACAAGTAGATGCACCACAAAAACTATTAACAATAACCACATAGGTTTTTTTAGTCTCTTGCTAGGCCAGTTTGTTTAATTTAGCATCATGAATTTAAGTATTTTAAAATTTAAGAACTTTGTCTGGTACAAAATCGGCGCCATAATAGTTGCAATCCGCTTGAAATGCAAAAATATGTTTATAGACATACTCTATAGACACAAAAAAAGTATGCAAAAGTTCGAACATGTTGCAAACAGTATTATTAATTACTAATTATTATACATAAACTATTATTAATATTATAATTGAAAATATTATAATTAGTTACAAAATATATTGTATTTTTTTAATATAAATTTATCCTTAAAATTCTTCTTACAATTTCTTTTTATAAGTAAAGAGGAGATCTTAAAATACATGGTGTTTATAAATATGGTATTCAGATAATTATGTCAATAATTTCCTCAGTCAATTTAGAATCTAATAGATTGATAATATTTTTGTAACATTTGTGTCTGTATAGAACCTTTGCCATCAAATTGGCACTTTCCGAATTCATCTGCTAATAATCCAAAAATATATTGAACTTCTTTCTCATCCATTAGTTTATCACAATAGCATCATGAGTATTTTTAACTTTTATATTAAAAAAAACCCTTTTTCTATTCTTCATATAAAATATGTTGCACCTTAATTCAACGAAGAAAAGCGCTCACGGATGGATGATGTTTAAGATGATGATGGGTTTGAGGTTTCGGATCGAAGTTAAATCATCGAGTTAAAAGAGCTGGAAAAGTGTTTTCAGACTGTGACAGTTTTCTTTAAGTGTCTAGTATGATTACTTCGTTAACCCCGGTGTTCTTCTGGTTTCTTGGTTTAAAAATTTAATGATAAGTCAACCACGTTGACTTATCATTCAATTTTTAAAGGTCTTGTCCTATACAAAGATATTGTCAATAGCAATTTTTAAAGATCTTGTCCTCCATCAATACCAACATTAGGTATATGACAAAAAAAACTTTTTTCAAAATTTTAATTTTCCTGATGTTGCATTTGATGAACTTTTACCAATAGATCACTGTTTTGAGGTTTATTTTATTGGATCACAAAAAAACCTCCTGCAACTAGCACCTCACCACTTTTAACTTTTTCGATTTTTCACTTGATTTTGTTTCCAGTTCTTACTTTCTTATGCTTGACTATGCTTGACTATGCTTGAATATAACTACAAGTTGGAGAGCGTCAAACAGTTTAAAAAGTTAACTAACATAGAATGAAAAAGTTCGATAGTTTTAAATTGTTTTTATGTTATGTAACTCAATTTTGAATAACAAATTTTACCGACTGTTTTTCAAATTAATGCGCGTTTGTTGTTGAGTATTTTTTAATGTTCGCGCGATTAAAATATTGAGTAGAAGTATTTAAAAAGTTTTTTCATTATTTGCAGTATTAATTTGCAAGATCTGCTGTTTAGTGGTTCTTCTTGAAAATATGTCCTTTAAAAGTAAAAAGTCAAAATCAGCAGTGGAAGCAGCTAGTGAAATATGGACACAAAATTTGAAATCAAGCACGAAGCGCCGTCCTAATATACCACAGGTAAAACAGGATATGAGCGACAAATTGTGTAAAATGCCTTCCAACAGAGATATTGTTGGAAGATTCTTGGGACTCTTAAATGAATTGAAAGAACGACATGATCGACTAACAAAAATATCCGAGGAATTGATGAATCTTCGGCAGAAGTTTAATTTTCCTGTTCTTTCCAAACAACAAGTGTCTGCTAATGTTTACAAACTTATCACATCATTTGAGAAACACAGAAAGCGACCAAATGCAGTATTTGAAGAAAATCTTGCTCATCTGTTCGATATAACAAAACCAGATGGAAATTGGCTTTGTAGTGAGGACAAACAACTGTACAAAGTACAAATTGAATCAGATGGCAGGGTGGGATATATGCAACTATGAAAGTGGCTCCTATGTCAACAATCCATCCATCAAAAAGGGCCAAAAGCACATCAGAACCCTCTACAAACCAAGCGGTTATTTCCGTACCACTTTCCTTCGATAGTGAGGATTCTGAGGAAAGAAGCAGCAGTGGTGACTCGGAGGCAGTTCTAGGAAAATCTCGCAGAAAGCGTGCAACACGTCACGGGTGTTTCAAAGTCTAGCTGAGAATGGAGTTTGTGTCCCAACACCATCACAGTCTGGAGTCTGGCGTCGAACAATCAGAAATGCAGAACAAGTTAAGAACCGCCTCATGGAACTGATCTCTGAAGAGAAATTTTCTTTGCATTTTGATGGTAAGAAAATTGACAAGACTGAGAACCAAGTTGTGTGCTTTAAAAATGTCAAAAGAACATTACAACTTGGCATTTTGGTTAGTGACAGTGGATCATCTGCAAGCATATATAAACCACTACAGGACCTACTTGATGATTACAATGCATGGAACAGTATTCAGATGATCATCTCTGACACAACAGCTGTAAATACTGGTCGCAAGAATGGAGTTGTAGCGAAGCTTCAGAAAACATTTCGAGACAAGGGATTCGATGAACCTCAATACATCGGCTGCCAACACCACATTCTTGATCTTGTTCTACGACATGTGTTGGATTTCTTTTTTCCTATACAGTCACAGTCGCCTAACATTAACTACAAATTTATTGATGAGATTATGGAGCATTACGATGATTTAAAAAACGCCTACAAGGGCACAGTAGTGGTAGTAGGGTATTCCAAAGCTGTGAAATGCTTCTCTACCTACTGGAAGAAGGAACCATCAGTGCTTGATGTGCCTCAAACCAACATAGTAGCCGAGAGAGCTGTAAAGTTGATGGAGAACATTCGTTCTTCTTGCAGAACAAACAAATATCTTAACTGTAAATTTATTAATACTAATACACAAATCTGAAAGATTATTAACATTACTACAAATGCTGTAGGACAGTGTATTTCTCGTGTATTTCTCATGTGTATTGTATATAAAGTTGACATATTATAATTAATAGCCTTTGGGCTGCTATGTGTTGTATGGTTAAATAGGAAACTGTCTTAGGTGCGGGAAATTTTTTCAAGGTATGGTGAAATCAATGTCATTTCTGTGATTTATAGGCAAAAGTTCATCATTTAGAACCCCAGGCTAATTGATTTAAAATTTATCATACACCTAACCAACATGAATTAAAAAGATCCAATTTTTTGAAGGAGCACGCGTCCGTTACTAGCATAGATAGGTCAGTTCAACAAACAATATCTTTTTCAAAATAATTTCTGCTACTCTTTGACAAGTTGACATTTTTTGATGACAACAGTTCAACCAAGTGTTGAGTCTTACCTTACCTTTCTGTAAAATATAGGTTTGTCTTAGAGCTTCTACAAGTTCCAGTCGGATGAAAGTTTACACTGAATTCTGTGTCAACAAAATCTTTGATTGAATCAACTATTCCTATTCAAAGATAGACTTTGATCAATTGAATTAACCGATTATTCCTATTCAAAGACATTTTTGTCTTTATTTACACAACAAAAACAGATCTATCTTCTTTTTTTTAATACAGAAATTACTAAAAAATATCTCCTATCACCTGATATCAAAAGTAAAAAAGGTAATGTAGAAAATAAAAACAGATGATATAAAAAATATTAAACAAATTGTTCAGTAATTCCTATACTAATTTTAATTTTTTATTCTAACAAATTGTCTGATTTAAACAAGTAATCAGGCAATTGACATTTATTGAATAAAAACTTATCAATGCTGAGATAATTATTGAAACAGAATATGAAATTTGTCTGAATTTCGACTATTTTGGGCCAGTCTAATGCAATTAGCTTCTAAATTTAAAAAAATTTGATCCGAGGCATTCATTTTTTATATCACTATATCTCTATCAAATTTATAGTTTATATCAGCATACCTCTATTAAATTTAGATCCATAAGATCTGTTGATCCAATAAATCACATTCAATTTTGCTTGTTGTCAATTTTGTCTTTTTGTTAGTATAATACCTGATGGACTGGCGATACGTTTGTTTAGAAATTATAGAAAGAAACCTTAGAGAAAGAAGATGGCGTATTCATCAAAGAGTGTCAAAGCCAATTTTTCTTTTAAACATTCTAATTGCGTATGTTACGTCAATGAAACTTTTTTAATAAATAACATGCTCAATTTTTCATGGTTGCCTTAGCAATGGTGTCATTGCTTTGTTGCCGCAGCAATGCTTTTTTAACTATTGTTGCAATTTTCTTGCTTGAGAAAATCACCAATTTTGGATTTAATAGTTTCCTCTTCTGAACAATCATCTACGTCGCTCTAAAAAGTATGATTACATTGGATTTCTTTTTTTATGAATTTGTTGCTATTCATTGCATAAATCTACATCATTTAAATTTGTGATCTCAACAGTGCATGCTAACCTACAGTTTTGAGATTTTACAGGGTGATGCAGAAGTATAAATTAAATTATAAGGAAGTAAAAATTATTTTATGCAGAAATATAAACTATTTTATGTGGAAATATAAACTAAAATAAAAAAATCAAAATAAGAAAGTTTAAATAGGTTTTTTCAAAGTTTTCTAAAAAAAGTTAAAATATAAGCTTGGTTCCAGCCATTTCAAACTCAAGGATTAAGTTTATTTATTAAATTACAGTTTATAAATTTCTGACTTTTTTATGTTTTTTATTTTGATTTTCTTATTTGATTATTAATAAAAATATTTTTTTCAAAATTATAAGTTAAAATTTCCGCATTTTTTAGTTTATATTTCCGCCTAATTTAAATATATTTCCGAATAAAAATAATTTATATTTCCGCATAAAATAATTTATATTTCCGCATAACTTTATTACTAATAAACTTTAATTTATACCTAAAATTAAATTACAGGAAGTTATAATGTCTTAACTACTGTAAATTTTCACATATTTGTGGAATATGTTGACACTATTATAAAAAGAATTCTTTAGAATTGTTTACTTCTGCATTATATATATATATATATATATATATATATATATATATATATATATATATATATATATATATATATATATATATATATATATATATATATATATATATATATATATATATATATATATATATATATATATATATATATATATATATATATATATATATATATATATATATATGTTCCTGATTCATAATATTTGTACTAAAGTAATAAAATAATAATAAATTGATTTTTTTGTTAAACAAATTAAAATTTACCATATATGTGTAATGATAAAATTTCAAGCAATTTTATGAACGTTATTTTTGTTTCTTAAAATGTATAAAATGATATAAATATATAAATTAACGAATAAAACTCTACAGACCGAGAGTAAGTCAATTTAGGAAGAACGAAGGTATGTATGATAGAAGAAATATGAAAGATAGAAGGAGTCGAGTTAAAAAGATAGCATAGAGAAAGCAGACAGGATTGCACACGATATTAGAAGGTGCAATACGTTACTATACACATAATTAGCTTAAGCCAAATAATGTATGCAATATAATATATATATATATATATATATATATATATATATATATATATATATATATATATATATATATATATATATATATACAATTTTATGTTATTTTTACATTTAGGATTTATTGTTTATTTAA